CAACATCTGTAGGCTTAGATTTATTTTGTTGTTTTTTACATTTTTGTTAAAGTTTATCAATTTTTACGTTTATAATTTTGAATAATGCATTCATAAGAATAAAGTTTAAGTTTCCTACTATCGTATGAGTCTTTCAAATTAAAAATATTCCACAAATATTAACTTTGAGACAGATAAAATATTAGCAATATACGATACTGCACATAAATTACGAAGAATTGATCGCTATTTCCCAAGATCTACATGGAAGATTTTCATTTTACTTTTTTTCGAATACTTAGTTGGTAAGTATTTTTTTAAAAAATGTTTCAAAGTTGTTCTATTTTTTTCGTTAAAAACGGCGTTCGGTGAACCGTGTAATATTCATAAAATAATAATAAAAAGTCATTGTTTCGTTGAACTACCAAAAATTTTTCCAATTTAAGGAACAATAAATTAATAAAAAGTTTTAGTTATTGGTAATATTAATAAAATAATAATAAAAAGTCATTGTTTCGTTGAACTACCAAAAATTTTAAAATTAAAAAGGTGAAAAACATTATTTTAAATTGGCTACGTACTGTCAGAAACAGAAAAGGTGGAAGCTCGAAAAAAAATGTTTTTATAACTTTTCTTTAGGTTTATTATTATTTCAAAAATATATTATAATTTATTTCTTTGGAATTGTCCCCTGGGTCACATAACTTTACCCTTGGTCAAACAATATCTGATCCAGGAGACGTGTGACCCAGGGGAAAAAATGTATGTTTTTAGAACATAACCTCTTTACTGTTTTAAAGATAAAAAATTGTATTTTTGTCCTTAAAACCATTACTAGGATACTTTCTTTTGAGAATCAAACAAAGTCCAACTGGTACCTTTACTAATTTTTATTACTGTGACACAGGAGAATGCACAGTTGTAACACGCCGGCATAAAAAATACAAAAAAACGTGTTGTGACTTCAAGATAGTTCAAAACACAATTTTCTACTAAACTCCGTTACTAAATATATTGCCGCAAGGGGGCAGCACAAAAAATGTGCGCTTAATTCAAAAGGTCATTTATAAAAGGCTGTGACCAAGGGGCCAAAAATAGGGGACAAACTTTAGGGGTTATTTTAACCACTTGTATTTTTTAATATTACCACAAATGGGCTTTTTCTGTAATATTTTGAATATATTTTTAACTATATAAAAAAAGGATGATGTTATTTTACTCTAAGATGTTTAAATGGCATTAAGTAGTGAATATTATTGCAAGTGGGACAGCTACTTTTCTGTACTGTTGGGGAAAGTTTAATTTTTGTATAGGGTTAAATTTAAAATTTTACAATTTTGTTATACCTATATATAGTTGCTAAAAACACTTAAACCAATTGATTTCGCTTAGTAAAGTTCCAAAATTAATGGCGTTAAACTCAATTTTTTATAAAATATTAAAGTTGAGGGACGACAAATACTTATTATTATCTAAAAATAGTTTAAATTAAATATTTGTATAGAGCGACATCTATAAAACAATAGAGTAGCCAACTTGTAAATCCGGCGCGCAGGTGAAAATGTCAAATTTTTATGTGTAAATCGAAATGTATCCCTTAAAAATAGACTAACAACCGTTTTTCAAAGTGAAAGTGAAAAAAAAAAATTTTATGGGCATTTCACGGTGGAGTCTCCACCCGAAATGAAGTTAAATCTAGTTTACTGCCGGCGAAAGGTCAGTGTTCATATACCTAAACTTTTCAAATATTAACGTTGAGAAATTATTTAATACTTTTTTATTTTTGTATTGAGATAATAAAATAATGTTTACTTTTAGTACCTATTATTTAGAGACGCACTTTATTTTAACTATTTTATCACATGTGACAACTGCCAACTAACTTTAAACTAACGTCAGCCCGTGACTAAAAGTTGTTGCTAACTTCAGCCCGTGACTAAAATGCCATAAATTCACAGTTTGTCAATGTGTTTTTAAAAGATCACTTAGTGTCATAGAAACATGTACTATAATAAGCGTTTTAAAGATGGAAGTAGAAAAAATAAAATTTCTAGAGTTTTAAAACATTCTTAAAACTCTTAAGCAGGTTTAGAACACGTTTAAAACAGTGTTAGGCATTTTTTAAATATGTTAATAGCAGAAAGTTTCGCCACATAAAAAGCGTTAATATTAAAAAAAATGCAACGCTGTAATTTATTTGGTAATATTTATATCAAAATAATGGTACTTTATAAATAAAGACCGAGCATATTTTAGATAATTTACTGCACACCAGCGGAAAGGGTTAATCTATTTGATGTCGATTTATCTGGCATATCGGTGCCGGTGCCAAAAGCTTTTAGGTTAAAAGGTGATCTGGTGCTAACTACTTGAATTTTTTCTCTTTAATATTAAAGAGACAAGAAACAGGAGCTCACATATTCATTCGCTATAAATACTTAAAATCTATACACATTATTTATAGGCTAGTAGGATCCCTATTAATAATAAGCAAGGACCGGATTTTAGGAAAAATGACTTTTTGTTTCTATTTTAGGTATTTGTTTGGGACCTTGAAATTAAACCTAAACTTAAAAAAATTAAGCGTTTGACACGTTTCTGCCTAAAAGCCTAAAATGGCGAAATTTTGATTTATTTAACAGGACATTTTTATGAGTCTAAAATAAGCTCTTTTAATTTTTCAGAAAAAAAATATAATTTTCATTGCAATAGCCAACTTTGACAACCGTTGGAATCAACCTATCGTGCTTTTGTTTGTATTTGTCACAGACAAATTTTATTTGTCTGTGGTATTTGTTTATTAGTATTATTTGTTCAGCGTCGGCCTGGTTTTGGTAAGTTTATAGAGATTTAATTAAATAATAGGTATTTCATTTACAAAAACTACTAATATTGCCAACAATTTATTTTAGTAATCCTAGAAATGCCCAAGGCTAAAGCAAGGATAAATATTTCAGCCAAATCAGTGCACAGTAAAAAAAGTTTATTCCAAGAGATTCACTTTTTTGTTGTTATAGTAAAATATTTTGTATTTCAAAGTTCTTAAATTACGTTTGTTAATATACAATTCAATTAAATATGTAATTAAATTTTTTAAATTTACAAAATACTTTGATAAAAAGATAAATTATCAATTTAAGTTGTTGTTTTAGCAAAATGTATGTAATATAATATATTTGTTAATTGAATTTGTTGATTTAACCAATTAATTTTGCAAATTTTACAATTTTTTTGTATTGTATTAACAAATATAATATATCAACCTGTACTATAGTACATATGATATACACAGTAAAACAAAATTAGGTTTTCATTAATAGTAATGTAATAGTAAATGAATTTATCTCCACGCGGTCTATAATTTAAACTTTATTGTTGTCAACATTCGATAAAGAAATACCTTGACAAGTAATTAGTTCGATTTTTTCTCGCTAGGGGTATTGTTTTGACAAATTAATCCTTTTCTAAGAAATTAACGTACTAAACTGGTTTAATTTATTTATAATAAGCACTAATTTGTTTGTTTTACTGTTAATGTTTAATATTTTTCATTAAATTATTGTAAAATTAAATATGAATAATAAAACAAAAAGTGAGGTTAGGCAAACAAGAAAACGCACGATTCTTTTTCTACGATTTAAATTATCTTTAAGTTTTAATTTGCTTTAAGTTTTCAGTGAAATTAAATGTTAAACATAGCTTAAACATTCCAAACTATCTATTTTTTAAATAAAAATCCAGACAAATTGAAATTAGATACCTACCTATTTATTAAACAATTAATTGAATTCAATGTAATAGCAAAAATCCATTTCAACTTAAATCATGTTGCTAGGTATTTTCAAACTATTACTGCTTCTAAATAATAATAATTATTGTACATTTAGCTAATAAATAAATGAGATTCTAAAAAAGTGAGGTTAGGTTGCTTTGATGTTGAATTAAATTGACCTATATAAAGTGCTTTGAAGATAAAATGTTGTATACCATTCGGCCAAGAAGTGCCTTTTTGTGCTTCGCTCAATTGTAGGCCTCCGCTACGCGTCGGCCTTCAAACCTTGAGCTTAGCACAAAAAGCCTTACTTCTTAACCTAATGACATAAATAACTATTACTTATCATTTTAAGTAAGATCTTTTACTTTTATGATTTGCTTTAAATTTTACAAGTTTTTTCTTTTTTTTATTCATACGGCAATTATTCACATGGCCCATATGACAATATTTTTTGCTAGAGTTTGTGGTATTATTTTTATTATGTATTTTATATTAAGAGAGATATATTTTTTGATTTATTTTTATTGATATATAAATAATAATAGTATATACTATAGTACATAATATTATATACTATAGTACCTGAATAAATGTTATGTTCAATCGTGTTGTTTTTATTTCATATCGCCTATTTTAGGCGGTTGAGGCCTATTTAAGGTAATTTCGGCCTAAATCGACCTAAAATATAGGTTTTTATTGCCTATTTATGTGTCCTAATTTCCAATTTTTAACGGTCTAAAATCCGGTCTTTGATAATAAGTATGCTTATATACATTATGTATTTTTTTGATCAATTACGTACTTTTTAAGTTCAACAATAAGAATAAGGTTATTTTTAGTATTACAAGTACAAATCTAAACATTGTGTTTTGATTATTGTTGAACAATTTATGCTTTTTTAGTTAATTATACTTTTGTTAAAATTATTTTGTGTTCTCTAGTTTTTTACCAATGTTTTTACGACAACGAAAAATTGGAATAAATAATTATAAAAATTATTTTGCGTTTTTTCAAAAACTATTAAAACGTATCTTTTTAGTACTGTTAAATAACAATTTTCAATAGCTTTTGTATATTTATAATGCAGTGGTATATCTTAAAAATCCTAAAAATTGGATAAATAAGCGTTTTTACACAATTACATATACATTTTAATGTATGTTTAGGTACAAAAATATTATCAAATATATTATAAAATTTTCCGCTTATCTCAAATATATTATCTCCAAAAACACACAGGTTCGTGGCCTGAGATAACCTTATTCATTTATTTTGGTATTATTATTTGATCTCATTAAGTAAAAACGCTAAATTAGACAAATTTTAATAATGCGGTTTAATGAAGTGATGTTTGCGTATTCGTTAAAGAATCCATTTTTAGGTTAAGAAGTACATACTTGTTAGGTTTTGTAAAGTTGGTTAAGTATCACAATGGTTAAGTTAAATAGTTGGTATTTGTATTTTGTTGCTATGATAGGTAAGTGTTTTTAGGTTAGATAATTTTAAAATGATAAGCAAATTCTAAACAAATATTTTTCTCATAAAAAATTTAAAACAAATTTATTTTATTTATTTTTATATATGTTACGGCTGATGTGCAAACTTGGATAGTTTATAAACTAGCTCGATAGTTTATAAACTAGCCAAACTGTCAGCTATTTTAATTGAAAACATATTTTCAACTAAATTAGCGGCTAGTTTACAAAATAACCAAGGACCATCAGAGAATTGGTTGGTTAGTTTACAAACTAGCTAAAGCTTGGCTATTTTGTGTTACTAGAAATTTTGGTTTTCATATTAGCCAAACTGAATTGGATAGTAAACAAATTATCCAGCTATTTTAGTTTCCCTAATAATTTCAAGTAAATTAGCCAAAATCGTTGGTTATTTTGTAAACTAGCCGCTAATTTAGTTGAAAATATACATTTTCAATTTAAATAGCTGACAGTTTGGCTAGTTTATAAAATATCCAGCTAGTTTATAAACTATCCAAGTTTGCACATTAGCCATAACATATATACTCTAACTCGTTGTTACAAACTAGTGTTTTTCAGAATAAGGCCGGAAAATGTTAAAAATATCGAAAAAAACGATTTGTTGTGTTGTTGGGTGTTTTTTCGAGAGGAAATTCTGGGTTAAGTTTTTACCGGTTTCCCAATAAACAGTGGAAATCCGAATTAAGAAATAAATTGCATATAGTCCCTGTAAATATAAATTGTAGATAAAACAAAAACACATTTTATTAATGATTTATGTGAAAATTGTAAACATTTCAATTCAGTAAAAATCATAAAACAAATCAGTCGTCTAAATTCAAATAGCTTTATGCATTATTAAAAGCGTTGATTGAGGGTTTTTTTTATAGGACTCAAATATAAAAATGTTTGATTTTAGGGTTATGTTTGTACAACTATTATTTTTTGTTAGATTTCTTAAATATATCCAAACTTAAATATAAATTATACGTATTAGGTAGATACCGAATTGGATCCTTTGGCTAAACATGAGAATGCAAGTTAGTTCTTGAAATACATTTAAAATTAAAACACAATAATTGACGACGATTACTTAGATGAAATACACACACTAACGTAACGATATAAGCACATAAGCGTTGAGTTGATATAAGTAATAATAAATCGAAATCGAGTACTAAACCAAAGTTTAACCAATTTATTATTTAATTTAGATGTGCAATTGAAACTTTGCAAACAAAAATTGTCGAGTAAGATATATTGTGAAAAAACTACTCTGTATTTAAAAATGAAGTACATTTTTGACAATTCTTGAATTCTCACATTGATATCGAGCGCCACCAGATGGCGCGCGCGTTTCGAAAACCCGATGCTTCTTTAGAGTATTATAATTTTTTATTTTTTTTTCAGTTTTTAAAATTCTTATGATTTGACAAGAATTTGTTTCAATTTATTTATTTATCGTGAAACAAAAATTTCAACAACAAATATAAATTTTTGCATTAAAGTATAATTTTTAAAAAAGCAACCAGCTCGGAATATTTGCTTATGTCCTGATTCTCTATGTTTACTACAGGAATAATTTAACTAAATCTTTGACGATTTCCATATTTCTTTGCCAAAAAGAACTGAACTTTCCCCTAACATTTTTAAGACCACACAATCTCAAGAAAAGATTCTTCGAAAACTAACTCGTATTGTTACTTTGACTTACTTTATCACGACTTAGTTGTATTTTGGAAACATCATAAATTATTTTCTAAAATTTTTTAAACATTAAAATACTAAAAATAAAATGCAATATGTAAGTAAAATACTAGATAATTTTTTTTTGCAGTAAACCTATTGGCATTCAGCTCAGGCTTGGCAAAATCCTGGTCATCCCCAGTGCTACCAAAACTACAATTAACCGAAAACAACCCCCTGGGCAAAATAATCACCACATCTGAAGCCTCCCTCCTCACTGCAATCCTGAACATTGGAAACGCGTTAGGACCTCTGGTAGCAGGAAAACTATGCGACAAATACGGAAGAAAGCTCACGATGGTCATCATTGCAAGCCCCATTGTTTTTGCTTATGGTTTGTTAGCATACGCGACTAATATTTACGTTTTTTATGCAGCCAGAGTGGTGAAGGGGTTGGGGGTTGGGAGTTGTTTAGTAGTATTGCAGTTGTATTTTAGTGAAGTTAGTGAGAGTACCAATAGAGGAAGAGTTGGCTGCCTTATGTCTGTGTTTTATGCTTTGGGGATGTTAAGTTCGTATGTTATAGGACCTCATTTTACTATTAAAGTGTTTAGTTTACTGTGTATTGTACCGTTGATGTTGTTTTTCACTATGTTTAGTTTTATACCTGAAAGTCCTTTGTATTTGGTTTTAAGAGGTGATAGAGCTGGGGCTGAAAAATCATTAATGAGACTTAGATCACAGAATGAGTTAGAAGTGGAAAATGAGTTCATCGAAATCATAAAGTACTGTGAAAAGACTAAACAAGGCAGTGTAAAGGACATTTTTAGATCCGCAGGACTAAGAAGATCCTTTTCTATATGTGTAGGATTATTCATGTTCCAACAATTAACAGGAGTAAGTGTTGTAGTCTCCTACTTACAATCCATATTTGAAGCCGCAGGTGATACAACTTTATCCCCTACGGAATCCCCCATTGTTATTGGAGGTACAAAATTCGTAGTCACCATATTTACTTCCCTAGTAGTCGAGAAATGCGGAAGAAGATTACTACTAACATACTCTGAATTAGGTGCAGGCATATCTTTCTTCATCCTAGCAATATACTTCTACCTTCAAGAGCAAGGTTTCGACGTCACCCCAATAAACTTTCTCCCCCTCACTTGCATGATTTCTTATATAATAAGCTGCGGTCTAGGGGTAATGCCAATCCCTTGGATTATTTTGGGGGAATTGTTCCCCCCAAACGTAAAATCCTCAGCCACCAGTATAGCCTCCTTCATCAACTTTATGGCTGCCTTTATGGTGACCGTAATTTTCCCCCATTTGGTGGATTTAATTGGTATGGGGGGTGCGATTGGGTTTTTTGGTTGCTCGGCCTTTTTGGGGGTGTTTTTCACTTATTTTACTGTCCCTGAGACCAAGGGTATGTCCTTGTATCAGATACAGGAGATGCTGGATGAACGGGAAGAATTATTGAGTACTTAATGTTAGTGATAGTGTAAATATGTATAGGTTTTTTATTTATTAACCCTAGATAATATTATACTACTTTTTAAAAGTTACATACCTACTTAAATAATTTTATGTTTTAAGGTTTCTGTTAGTGATGCAACGATTATTGAAATGCGATTACGATAACGGTTACGATTCTACAACCAATAATCGTACAATTATTTATTTTCTTTCCTAAATAAATATTAATATTATACAATTTATTAAATTTAAAAAAAAGTATTTCTAAAAAAATAAAAAAAAATTGTTTTTAATATTGTTAATACAAGTTCAATTAAACAAAGCAATTTTTAATTATTTATTAAAAAAAACATACATAATTTTTCTTTTTTCCCATGGATTTCTTGGTTATTTTCCCTAATATTTTACTAAAAAAATTGTAAAATAATAGTATATTATACTACAAGGGCAGAAAGTGTGAGATTCCTGCACTGCGCGCCTCGGGCATCATGGCGCGCAGTTCAGGGCTCTCACACTTTCTGCCCGTGTAGTGTATGCTATTTTTCTTGCTACCCGGCAGAAAATACGGGAAAAAATTAAATGTGTATAAAAAACTTGTGTCAAAATTAAAATCTGACGTTTAATTTAATTCTGACGTTTACATTCAAAATCAATCAAACTGTAGCGTTGTCATGGTAGCGGGAGGAAATGAAACTTTTCTTACTACCTCGGCCGAAAATACGTATAGCCTTGACCAATGCATAAAACGTAAACTTTCTGCCGTGGAATCGGGGACGAAACAACGTATTTTCTGCCGGGTAGCAAGAAAACTTATTTGATATTTAGCAGGTAAATCGCAATCGTAATCGTAGCATCACTATACTTTATAAAGTAAATTCATTTTATAAACTAAATATTTGAAAGCTACGCCTTTTTATAACTAATAATGTATACCACAGATTCACCAATGACATGAATGTACTATAGTAATTGGAAGTTTCTAAAGTCTTTCATTCATACATTTGTATTTTTATGAAAATCTATGAAATTTTACAGGGTGGTAAAACAATTTATAAATTTAAAAGTATTAAAAACATTATGATGGTTTTATAACAAAGATATTAAACTAAGATATACATACCTGTTAACGGACAAGCACCTACATATACGTTAAAGAAGCATCAAGTTTTCGCAACGCGTGCGCCATCTAGTGGTCATCGATAGCATGGTGTGAATTCAAGAATTGTCAAAAATACATTTAAAGCATATGAACTGCACGCCTTTTTTAAATACAAAATATAATACCCGTTTTTGTTTTTTTAATAATGCATAATGCTGTTTGAATTTAGACTACTTATTTTTTTTATGATTTTTATTGAATTAAAAGTTTTACAATTTTCACGTAAATCATTACTTAAATGTGTATTTATTGTATCTAATAGGTGCAATTTATATTTACAGGAACTATATGCAATTTATTTCTTCATCGGATTTCTCTGAAAAAACATCCAACAACACAACAAATTGTTCTACTCTCCTGAATCCGAAAACACCTTCAAAAATTATGAAAGTAGAGCTGTTTTTGAAATACAGTAATTACATGGAAAATTGACTATATCTCAAAAACTGTTCTACTTTTATAACTTTTGACGACATTTTCGGATTCAGGGGACAATTTTACTTGTAAATTGACTGCTAAATGTTTGGGATACAAATTGCTACTGACGAGAATTATTAGTGGCTGCTTTTTCGCTATGACAATTAGTCATTTTTGACTAATCCATTTTAAGAGAGTACGTTTTAATATTTTTAACATTTGACAGCTGATTATTAAAAGTGGTTTTGTTACGATTTTGTGATGCTTCTTTAGCGTATATGTATTTATATATTTTTTATATTGTGTCAGTTTTTTAAATGAATTTTAATATTTTATATAATTTTAATGTACTTATATATTAATATTAGAGGTTAGGGCTATTAATTAAAAAAATTAAAAAAAATATTACTAATTATGTCAAGTCATGATAACTTATAAAGTTTTCTTTTTTTTTGACATAAACAGAAAATATAAATCTGTGAACCATGATTTAGCTGCGTTTTTTAAATCGTTTACATAGTAATCGTTTCTGAATGAATATTGCAATTTTTTTAATTTTTTGTATTCTTTTAATAACTATATATCTACAGGGAGTATCAAGAATACTACATACATATGGTATTTTTTTACTTGAGAGCTTCATAGTCAGATATATCAGAGGAATGCAATTTAAAAAATATAATTGAAAAAAAATAAAAACCTGTTAGAATCAAAACTGGATATAAATTTTTTATTTCTGGAAATTTTGAAAATATGTAAATATGTATACGTAAGTAAATATATATAGTAAATATATATAGTAAATATATATAGTAAGTTTTACATTTCTTAGCAAGGTATTATATTTTTAGTTACCATCACCATCTTTTTTAATAATGGCCGTTATAACTAATAGTCGTAAGTTTAATACATCGTTGGATTATTTTTTCTATCTAACCATATAAAATTTCAATATGGATCATGGGTAAAACAAAGGTAAATCAAAATCTAGAACGCGAAAAAAATTACAAATTGTATAAAAATGTAGTGTAAGTGTGTACATGTAAAACTTATCCTTTTTAAAATTCCCAGAAATAACAAAGTTCTAACAAATTTTGGTATTGACAGGTTTTCAGTTTTTTTAAATTATTTTGTAGCTCATTTAATTAAAAAACTACCAATCTTGGCGCACCCTGTATATCTATCACGTTACTTTTATTATTTAATTTTTTTGTTTTTATTTTAATTTTTTAATACCATAACTTTTGTTGTTTTCTTTTGTAAGCATTTTTATTAATATATTTTAAAATATTTTTAGTATTACATATCATATTTTAACAAAAAAGTATTTTGTTTTAACAAAAATGTATTTTATTAATATTGCTCTTTGTTTTTTCGTGGTGTCTATTTATTTGGTTATACATACATATGTACAAACAATGTATAAAAAATATTTTTTATAATAACATGACCTTTATATATAATTTTTTGTATTATTTTTTCTCGAAGCCAATAAAACTCTCAAAACACAATTAAAATTTTTTCGGGCAATAAATATAGCGCCTTTCTAAACCACTTTGTAAATGAGTCTAGTCAGTCAAAAAGTGTCACTATTTTGTTTACATTTTCGGTTTTTTGGTACGCAGGCACCCTGCCTTGCATCTAAAACGATACGGATACGTAAACCTGCGTAAGATATATGACATGGTTGGCGAAGAAAGACATCTTTCACACAGGGCCAGTGGCGCCTAAACCATATAGGATCGAGTCGGCCGGGGGGACACAGACCACTGCATGCTATTTACATGCGGAGTGTCATAATTTGGCAGATAATTGTCGGGGTGCCGCCTAGACTAGACCTAGATAACAAATTGGCCACTTTTCACTTTCAGACACTTTACACATATTCAATACGGATTTTGATGTTTTTTAGAGACATGTTGCATGAAAGAGGATGGAAAGTAGTTTGGGTGGTTGAAAAAATTGACGCCCAACTAAATTGCCTTTTAACTGTTTGTCCACTTACTGATTTAAGTAAAAAAGGTTTTTGCTAAATTTATTCAAAATTCTAAATAAAAAGTTTTTGCTTTTTTAAAAAACTGCATCTTTGAAAAAACACAAACTGTAGAAAAATTATTATTTTTTTAATCACATTAACAACAATAAAAAACAAATTTATATTAAAATAAATTATATATTTACTAAAAAATACATTCCTTTTTATACATTTTATAATGTTCACGTGTGTACAATAAGATTAGCAAATTTTTGTAATGTTAACTTCGAAAAAAAGTTATAGTTATAGTAATATATATATCTATATATGTATAATATTTGTTATATATATATATCTAAATATGTATAATATTTGTTATATATATGTATATATTTTACGGTGGTCCTTATTTGAGGCATTTTTAAATTGTTATACTCTCATTGGCTAAAACGCTTTTAAATCGATAAAAATAGATAGATTGAAATTTGCACTTAAAAAAATGCACATGCACTGCTAAAGAAACTAATTTTGTAAGCGATTAATAAAATAATATTATTTAACCTAAATTTAAAATTGTAATGGCTATAAAAAAATGTATCACCTCAGGTTTAATAAATTTTCAGTGGGACAAAAACCTACGATTTGTCAATGTAATGAGATTATTTTTATTTACAGAATAAACTTTTTTAACTGTTAATAAAATTTTCATTTACTATAATGAAGCGGCAATGTTGAGCTTTTATACAAAAAAAAATGTTAATCAAACAAAGTAATAGTTGTTATCATATTGTCATGGCAATAAGAAATACTTTATGTTTTTATTAAATATTTGTTTTTGTTAAATCTATAGTTGTGTGTGAATTGCGCTTACATAAAGTAATGCGCAGTTGTTATAGTAAAATTTGTTCATTTTACTATGTCTTTGTTAAATTACTATCGTTGTAATTAAAATTAATTTTATTTCAGTTAAAAAATCTTTGTTAATAGCTTACGTTAAGAACAATAACAAAAATGCTATAAAAAGACTTTTTATATTTACTATTGTTTTGCAATGGTAACAAAATTTTTGTTATTTCCCTTAAAAAGAGGGGGAAAGGGCCAGCGCTCTCCTTGATGAACATAACTATATAATCCAAAGTCTGTGTTATAATCTTATTGTTTTCACTTGTGCGAGTGCAGTGTGGTAAAATTCATCATGATAAAAATATCAAAAAGATCACTAAGAAAATTAAAATTTCCACGTTTTCTAAAAGAAACATTTAAGGTCTATTCTATAAACGAAGCAGACTTGTTGTTTAAAAAGTGAGTTCATATTTTTATTATTAACCATGATATTCCATGGTTAACCATGCTACAAGTGAAAAAGCAGCCACTAATAACTATTAAATTAGTCATTTTTGACTATTTCATTTTTAGAGAGTACATCATATAATATGATTTTTTTTAAAGCCCAACAGTAGGTTGAAAATGTGAATTAACAATTAATTTGTTGTTAAATTTACATAAAATGTATTAATATTATAAAAAAAGTTTTAAACGAAAAGGGATTTGTAAAATTTACATTTTTTAATTTAGTTGATAGTGGTCAAATGTCATACAATTGTTAAAATAAAGTTTGTAAAATAATAATGTGGACATCATTATCTTAATACAAAAATAAAATGCGCCAATACCTATTTGAAAAGTTTATATGCAAGT